ATATTTAACGTTACTTTTGTCTATTTGTTAGTAAATTTAATTTTTAGGTAAAATACTTGTACTAGTTCCAAACTTTATTTTATACATTTTCATAATGTTTTTTTTATAAAATTGTTAAAAATTAATTACACGTATCTAGGCATGTATGTATAATCATCCTCACTACTGCTAATCCTTGCTCACCCATCATGTGCCTATTGACAAGTAGTCCGTTGAATCCAGCCTACTGAACTTTTCGAAATTTTTCGCAGCATATACCTATTGTGTCACCCGAACCTTCGCTGCTAGTTTCCCAAGTCTTTTTGTTATTCCAATTAACTTTTTTCCTTTCAAAGTCCCATCTGTTTTGCTTTTCCTTTGTCTTCAGCGCCTTCCTTTTATTTCTTTTCATTTTTATGAATTTTCTCTTTTCAGAAAGAAATATAAAAGTAAGCTAATGGTGATTAATTTATAATATTGAGGTATTCCGGGATCATTTTATCCCACATAGTTTACCTTAAGAGATCACTAGACACCGCTCTCCCCTACCAGGGATCAATTGAAAGAGCAAAGGTCACTTTTGTTAGACAATTCCAGCAATTGTGCCTGGAATTTTCAATACGTCTGAGATACTTGTATAAGATGCGAGGTCAATGAAAAGCTTTGTCATTATTATTATTGATAGTTTTACAATATATTATTGTGGATCCTCTTCTCAGGGTATTAAATAAAATTGAAGCGGATTCTTTCAACCGGTAACTTTATTAAAAACTCTGCGAAACAACATTGTTGTTATTCATTCTTTTACTACATATCACACTTTTAAATAAATTATACCTATAATTAGAAAAGTAACTCTGGGTTTGTCAATCGATTATCATATTTTAATAAAACTGTATCAAAATAAATTTATTTGTTCCTCTCTCTTATTCAGTATAATAATATATCACAATAATACGTATTATGTAATAGTCTTTCGGTACAACAGCTGCGTGCTTTACAATTACTCAGTTGGGAAAATAGTCGTTATAATAGCACTCTCATCGGTTTAATATTTCTTGAATTTCGGCAAACGTTTTCCCTTTCGTTTCTATGACGAAGAAAAGGGTGAAGAATATTGCCACGAAACAGAAAGCTGAAAAAATCCAGTAGGTCATACCCAGACCAACAGCGTCTTGTAGATTACCGAAAAATCGTACTACAACGAATCCCATAATCCAGCAGAAACTTGCCGTTATTGTAGAAGCAGCAGCTTTCACATTAGCTGGGAATACCTCGCCCATAACCGTCCAGGGTAACGGGCCAAAACCAAAATTGTATGTAATAATATAAGCGATCATAGAAACAACAGGTAACCATCCGATATTGCTCACATCATGGTCATTCTCTTCTAAATAGAAGTAAACCCCGAGTGGTACTTCCGATATCACCATTCCTACCGCTGATATCAAAAACAGCATTTTCCTCCCCAGCCGGTCTACAAACACAGGGGTCGTAAAACCTGTCGCAAATTGGACTATGCCAACTATGAGAGAAGAAATGTCGGAATCCATGGAGCTTCCAGAAGCATTAAAAATATTCGTCACGTATGTTAAAACAGTTTGGATACCTGACAATTGTTGCAAGGTTACTAGCCCCAAGCATATCAACAAGGCCTTCCTCAAACCACGATTTTTTATCACATCAGCTATTGTGCCTCTATTTTTCATATCGTTTTCGACGCTCTCCTTTATTACAGCAAACTCTTTTTTAATCCCCGCTGTGTCTGTACCCCTAAGTTTTGCAAGGGATGATTCAGCAGCAGGAATATTGTTTTTCGAAATGTAATAATGAGGGCTGTCCGGGAAAAGCGAGAACAAAATCACAAATGCAGCAGGAAATATAGCGCAAATTATGCTGAACCACATGATCGGTATATAAGGTCCTAAAGCGTAAGAAGCTAGTTCTCCACTAACCATAAAAATATTGAAAAACGATGCCATGGTTCCTCTTATTGGTGCTTCAGATATTTCCCCTATATACATGGGCAAAGCAGTAAAAACTACCCCCATTCCTAAACCGCCGATGAACCTCGCCACGTAGTATACAACTGGGGTTCTACCAAATGCTAACATTAGAAATGCTGCTGTTAGGGGAACACCAGACGCGCAAACTAAAGTCCATTTACGTCCAATTCTATCGACAAGGAATCCTGCTACAAATGGTCCAAAAATAGCTCCACATGATAGAAAAGATGCTATCCAGGACTGTTCTTCAGTGGTAATGGGTGCATCAAAAGGATTATCGTCCAAGATACCTGTACTGTTGTTAAGTTTCGGGAATACGGGCGATGTCCATGTTAATATCAGCCCAACGGCGAATGAGGCTATACTACCTAGAAAATTATAGATTGTTCCTTTATTATCACATTCGTTATTTCCTCGAATATGTTTAGTTTAATTACATAACAAAAAGTGACGTCGTCCAAATAGTTAATGATAAAACGTTCACAAGTGGTATTAAACGTATGTGCGTATTATCTATATCTATAGGGAAGTTTTTTTCTGACAGCTTCCTTGTAGTATGAAAAGTAAACAAGTTAGTTTTTGATATTTAATAAATCGATTTATATTTTTGAATGAGCAATATCCTAGTAAACACGTTGTATTGTTTTTTTAATAGATGTTGTAAATAATATGTTGATACGTCGATAGTTTCGAATGATCGATAAAACCAACGCAGCGTAGATACAGTTGGGTCGTTTTAAAATTTAAATGAAATTTTGAAAGCATTTGTTGGCCAAGGTGTATGTGCAAATTGACAGCGGATTTTGCGAAACTCACATTCTAAAAGGTTGAAACAAAGCGTAGTATATCCTAAAAATACAAATAAAGTCGAATATGGCGACATTCAAACGATATCGAAATTCTAAGAATTTAATTTTTTTATCAGAATCATAGTTCTTGAGTTTCAAGCGTTAATAAACTGTTATCACGTATGTATGTATACTTCTGGAGAACCCACGACGAGTAGAGGTAGTTAAGAGTCTCATGGGTCATGACCTTGAGTTGCGCAATGCCAAAATTCCCCCTGTCATTGATTTTCACATCTCACTAAAAACATTTGCTGTGACATCGTCATCGTTAACATAGTTAGCAGTTGAGTGGATGTTTTTGAAGTGAATGCAATATGACGCCACTACCCAATTTCGTAACCCAGGTCATTTTAAACTACGTCTAACCATTACTAGCTCATATAAGAACTTTAAATGCAACTACCTATTAGTAATTTTATATCTGCTTAAAGATAGGTGTTTCCACAATATCGGTAGTGGAAAATTTTTTAATAAAAGAACCAACAGCTTTTGATAATTTCTTTTCTAGTTATTAGATATAAAGAATGAAAAAGCAAAACAAATTCCTAAAAGTGCTTCTCCATGTAATATGTAGTATTACCAGTTGGTGATTAAAAATTAAAAATAATTAACTCAACGTTTGTACAAACAACAAATTATCATGTAAATAATTGAGCAGAGGAAGTGATAACATCATCAACTTCTTATTTATCTGTTACTGAAAAAAATAATATATATCCTTTTTCTATACTCGACTACGTAACAATGTTATATTTTAGATTTTTTGTTCAGGAATTTTTATGATTTAAAACATTTT